AAGTTGCTGCAAGTAGATCCTAACTATCATCATCACATAAATAAAAAATAGAATAAACTCTCTTAACTATGTGAGGTGATGTATATGTTAATTATCTTGATCTTGGTAATCATTCTACAATGTATATGTATATCCAATCATCACAAGGTACACTTTAAATATGTACAATTATATTTGTCCGTTATTCTTAAAGAATTAAAAAGAAAACAAATTTTTGCTTATTAATGCTTGCGTGTTTATTTTTTAAAGGATGTACACAGCATTGACATTCAAGAGTATGAAATACATAGCAAATCATATTTTTCAAATGCCTAGAATACAATCATGAATATTATGTATTAGTTTAAAAAAGCAAGAAAAGACTATAATGAATACTAAAGATGTATTTCAGTGATGGATTCTATCCAAAGAAATCAATTTTAAGCTCTATTAGAGATAAATATTTAGGACAAATGAAAGGAAGGGAACTTGAATTGTCCTACCACTCCCCTTCTACTTTTTTTTTTTTAAACATTAGAATACTTTTCTCTTAAGCTCTATGTGGCCATCTGTCTACCATGGGGTGATCTGGGTGTTAAACCATATTCTAGATCATAGATAAAGGACAGGGCGCCATTTCTGAGATATAACAGATGTTCAGTAAATGCCATCGATGGCATCCTTAGTGTGGATGGGAATGTTCTTACACTTAAAGAGAAAAGAAGAGAAAAGACTCTACCACTGTTCTAGTAATAATGGCAGCAAGTTCTAGGACCATGGAAACGGAACAGAAGTAATTCCTGCAATAACCAGAAGACACATTGACTTTGCATCTAGGTTATAGTCTGAAACTCTTTCCAAGCATGTTTATAAGTTACAATTCCATCAAAACCTAGAGGGAGACAAAATAAATGTCTCCTTATAGATAGAATAATCGATCAGTGAATAAATAATCTTCCATTTCTCTATCAATCTGCTGCTTTTCACAATGACTTTCTCTTTAAAAAAGAGCGTCAAGCCTAAATTTAAGCCTAACCTGTTTTTCCCCCTTATATAAGAATGCTTCCTGCTCTAAGTCCATGATTTAGCTCACTACATATTAAAGGTTTCTTGATTTATAGAATTTAAATAGTTTTGTTGCCACATGGAAAAGAGCTTTGGTTTTATTCCCCCCAAAGGTGATGATAACTATTTGGTTCATACATGCTTGCTTTGCATTAGTCAAAAGAAATGCTTTGGCACAACATTTAAGGCAGTTGCTTAATAGAGCTCTTATTTAAAGATTTATAGATGTGTGAGAGGTATTGCTACTTAATTAGCATCCCCAAATTGGTCTAATTATCAGTCTGTGTCTCACATTTCTTCATAGATCTTGTGTCATTTGCTATTTATTATTTCACACAAATCAGTGTTCTCTATGATGGGATGGCTGGGGTGTGTTTATTTTGACAATAAGAAATTGTCAAATCAGTGCAATAGTGAAATGAAGTAATACCTGAAAGTAACAATTAACAATTTCCACCGTTAAAACAAAATAAAAAAGGCAGCAAAATATGATAGCGTTGAAAAAGTTTCCTAGCAAAGTCCAGTACAGCTGGCTCACATGTTATAAAAATGTTTAAATTAAGTACTTAATTTTCAGCTAATATCCTTAGGAGGCTAAGAGGCTTGGGGACTGTTTTATATTTTTACTATGTTGCTAGTTAAGTTAGAGAACATTTGGCTCAGAAGTTCTTTCCATCACATTTTTACAACCATACTAAATATTTTGTCTCATGTAGTCATATGCAATTCTGTTTTACTTTGCCCCTGTCTTCCCACATATCCATTTCTGTTAAACTGATTGGTAATGAATTTAACCTTATTGCTCAGATAGGAGGCCTTGTCAATTCTAAATAGGGAGAAAAGCCACGCGAGAGCCTCTGGAAAATAAAGCTTTGAAAACCGCCTCCCTGAAAAGACCCAGCTTGTAGAGTGGAACCAGAACACTGGCTGAAACCTTCAAACAAAAGAGGGCCAGGTGCGAAGTCTGGGGCAATAAGAAATACTTTTGCTTTGTTCTTATGAACAGCATTGGCGGACTTACAGTTAATTTTTCATCAGTCTGTGGGCAAGGTACCCTATGCAAATCGAAAGGGCTACGAATTTTTTTTTTTTTTTAAACAACGTTTTTTGTTGTTTTGTTGTTGTTGTTTTTAAAGTCAGGTCGTAAGAGAGTGTGTTGTAAATATTGTTTCAGGGGGGCGCAGACCATGCTGCTCAGTGGTCTGTGCAAAGGTTTTGCGGACGGCGATGACCAATGACAAAGGGACTGCAGCACACATCATCCCGGCGGAGTCTCCCGTTGGAGGAGCGCAGATCGACAAAATCCAGAGCCGCCGCGAGCTCTCAGAGCGAGGGGCTGAAGGAGGCCGGAAAGACCGTTTTGTTGCTACATTTTTGCAGAGGACAGGACTGGTCTTTGGGGTCTGAGAAGACCATTTGCAAACCTCCTCCGGTCCCTTGGACTCGGCCGCTCTGGGGCCGCTCGCTCGCCCGCAGCCAGCCGCAGGGAGGCCCCGGCGCCCGCAGGTGGCGCCCCACGTCCGTGCTTGCGCTTCTCGCCCGCGCTCCGGGCGCAGCTGGGAAACCGGCGCGTCTCCCCAGGTCGTTAGAGCTCAGAGTAGGCATTTTAATAAATAAGCGCGTGTGCCAGTGCGCTCCAGGAGCCCCGAGGTTCAGAGGAGCAGAAACATAAACCCAGGCGGAGGCGCCTCTTTTAATCCCTGCCAAAATCTACTATTTCCCAAACTGGCGATTCCGGAACCACAGCCTTTAAGCCATTAAAATCCCAAGCTTTTTCTCTCCATTTCAGTCCTTTTATTTTTATTTATTTTATTTATTTATTTATTTATTATTTTTTTTTTTTAAGAAAAACTGCTTTACCCCTTAATTATGAAAGTAATCACGCTATTCAGGATTAAGACTTGGAGGGAATTTGGAAAAGAAAAGAAAGAATCGAAAAGAAGAGCGACCGGTGCTTTGAGGGTGCCTAATTATTAAAAACGAGGCATCTGGGAGGAATTCGCTCTGGGTGTTTGGGTGAGAGCCGGACCTGGGCGGTGCAGGGTGCGGCGGGGGTGAGGAGAGCGGGAGCCGAGCCCGGGAGGGGGCAGTGCGCGGAGTCCTCCGGGCGATCGTGATGGCTGTGCCGTCTGGAGACGAGAGGAGAGGCCGGGACTGAGGGGCCCGGCAGAGAGAGCCACGCTGCGGGCGCGCTGTGCGCGAAGGGCCCTCCTAGACCGTGGGCCCGGGTGCGGTGCAGAACCGGTGGGGTGCCTGGAACATAACCGGTGCGAAGCGCGGGGCGCTGCGCGGTGCTGGGCGCGGGCTGTGCAAGTGCAGGGCGCGAGAGTCCGAGCCCGGTGCGGTGCGGTACGCTGGGCGAGCGGATGCCGGGCGACGCGCGCGGCGATGTCGGGCGCGGGACGTGCGGATCCGAGGCGCGGCGCGGTGAGGGGCACCCGGCGTGCGGGTTCTGGGCGCCGCGCGAGGCACCGGGGTGCGCGGCACGGGGCGTACCCGGAGCGGGCGCCGGCCGTCGCGGGAAAGGGGCAGGGCGGGGCGGCGCGGTTATTGGCCAGGCGCGGGGAGAAGGGCTGCGCTCCGAGTCTCCTCCCGCCAGCTCCCGCTCATCTTCTTTAAGCAGAACAACTTCGCGGACAGCGCTGCTCGCTCATCATGGATGTTCCAGGTAACCAAAACGCAAGCCTGTCCTCCACGATCAGCACGTTAATTGCATTCATGCATATATTTTAATGAGGACCTTGGAGAATCTGCGTTCTGGAGAGGGCGAAAGAGAGAGAATATCGATATCCATGTGTACGGGGTTGGGGGGAGGCTGGCTACTCCCGGAACAACTTCTCTTGTTGGATAGACTGTTGGAGGAGTTGTACGGAGGCTGTGGGCGGTGAGGGGAGCGGCTTCTTTGCTTTTTCTTTCTCCGACTGGGTATTGAAATGACCTGTCTAGTTTGGTGGCAGAAGAGAGGGTCGGGGAAAGTGCGAACGCGCGCTCAAGTTAGCAGAAAGCTACAGGGCTGCCTCCAGGCCGGAAAGGGCTGGGGGTCCAGGGACAAAAGCTGCCCAACAGGCCAAGCTTGGGACGCTCACAGCCGTGCAATCCTCTGGTCCTGCGCCAGAGCGGGCGATCAGAGCGGCTCCTCCAAAGGAGCTCGCTGCGGGCTGCGGGGACGGTGGAAGTGGGTGTTTGGTTTTAGAGTCTGTCTTCTATATCTTTTCCTCTTAATCTTACTCACCCTAAGGAGCTTCCTTGGGATTTGTTTTTGGGCGGAAAATGGATCTTTAGTAAGTGGACTGCTTAAAAATATATTTCTATATCCAGGATGGATGAACAGAGGACGCAGGGGAAAGCAGAGAAAGGAAAAAGGTTTCTTGGTCTGGTTTCAAGAACATGCCACTGAAATGAGGGCGATAAACCTTTCGTACTTTCTCTCTTTGCCTGCATCTTTGCCCTTCTCCGCCTTTGCAGAATGGGCCCTGGGGGTGGCGTTGACGGCGTCTCTGAGGTCACCGACCATGTCTTAGGGCCGAGGCCCTGCAGAACCTCGGGCCCCTACCGGATCGCACCTCTGGCGCGCGCCGCCCAGGAGCCCCGAGGGACGCACTGCCCCGGGGCGCCGGGGCGTTCCTCGGACCTGTTGTGCCAATCCGGGAAGGGGTGGCTGTGTGCGGTACTAAGAGGGTGGCCTCCATGGAAAGGGGCCCTTGCGCTGCAGGCACCTGCTCCCCGTGCCCCTCTCCCCCACCTCCAGGTTCACCTCTCAGTCTAAGGGTTCGGGTTCTTTGCCCTGACAGGTCCGCTGGCGCCTTTCTTCTGAGGACGACCCTGGCCTTGACCATCAGAGCAGGGGACCGAGGCCAAAGGAGGCTTCCCCAGGCCCCGCGCAGTCCTGCGCGCCCTCCCGGGCTCCTCCGGCCCCTGTCCAACGTCGCCCTCGCGCGCCGCCCCCACCAGCTCGGATGCGGGCGCCCGGCCGGGGCCCCCGCGCGCCGCCGCTGACCATGCCCGGGCGCCGGGGGGCGCTGCGCGAGCCGGCTGGCTGCGGCTCCTGCCTGGGGGTGGCGCTGGCCCTGCTGCTGCTGCTGCCTGCCGGCCGCCCGGTGCGGGCGCAGAACGACACGGAGCCCATTGTGCTGGAGGGCAAGTGCCTGGTGGTGTGCGATTCGAGCCCGTCGGCGGACGGCGCGGTCACCTCCTCCCTGGGCATCTCCGTGCGCTCCGGCAGCGCCAAGGTGGCCTTCTCCGCCACGCGGAGCACCAACCACGAGCCGTCCGAGATGAGCAACCGCACCATGACCATCTACTTCGACCAGGTCAGCCGGCCGGCCTGCCGGCCGCCTCGCCTCCCGCCCGGGGTGGAGAGGGCGGGGGCCTGGGCGCGTGGGCTGGGGACTTCCAGGCGCTCCCCGCCTCTCTGCTCTGCCCTGCCCTTCTCCTTTCTCCCTTTCCGAGTAAGCGCTCCTTACCATTTCCCTTTTCTCACATTGTAGCTTTTTTATCACTAGCAGCTCGGTTGGCACTTGGATGACTGAGTTCTTTAAAACTAAGGGATCTGAAATGAATTCCCCGAAAGGAGCCTGCGCATCTTACTTTTCGCTGCGTCGGGGGCTGTCGTTTGTGGTGGATAGGCTTCGGTCATCCAGGTGGCCAGCTTGGGGACTGAGTGCGTGGAAAACACACCCCAAAAGGGGAGTCTCCAAAGGTCTCAGCCAAGGATCAGCAAATATGTGCCTACTGCTTAGTTTGAAATGGACTGGGGAGAGGACGCTTATCTTCAAGAAAAATAAGTCGCAAAGAGTGTGGGGGGCAATAACAGGGATGGTTATATAAATTCAAAACAAAGTAGAGTGCGGTTATGTAGATGGAATAGATAGTAAATACAACATATATACCGTAATGTACAAATATATACAACACATAAATATTCTATGTAGTGTGGTCATATAGATTTAAAAAATATAAGGATCAATGACTTAAGTTAACCCAAGCCACTAAACTTCTCTCCCTTGGCTCAAAGCAGAGGGTTCAGTAAATGATCAGACCTTGGCAATCTCTTCTCTGGGTTTTTGGGCTCAGATTGGAGGTTGTGACTTTCCTCTTGGGCCCTCCTGTCTTGGTTTCTGTTGTTCTTCAGAAACAAGTTGAAAACATTAGAGTGGTTCCCAGACTTTACCTGCTCAGTCCCTTCCTTTTGCCAACATGCTTCCCACTAAAACAGAATCCTGGGCTCTCTGGCCACACTTAACTGATTTCCCTCCTGTTAACCAATCCTTAAACCTCAGTGTGAGTGTGAACCTACACACACCATTGCCCGTGTGTAGGCTAGAGGATTGATTCAATTTAATCCTTGCTAAGGATTATCTACTTGAGTTTTTAGGGTTTGGAGGTGATCTCCCTTTCATCTGTTTTTAAACAGTTTTTTTTTTTTTTAAATAAAACTAGTGGTTTTAATTATTGCCAGATAAAGCAGACACCCATCAATGGGTATTTGCTAAGTTCTTCATGTGTTATCATTAGTTACGTCCCATCATTTCACTTGGGTATCAGGAGAACCCTGTGATGTGGGAGCAAGATAAACTGTAGGGCAAGATAAGATTCTAATTTTATAGATGAGCTAACCATGGCAGGGAGGGTAAAATGCTGTTCCCTGCTTCCCAAGTTAGGGAGTCAGTGAAACCTGCTCTTCTGGGCTCCTTCTGGGTGTTCTTTCGTTGACAGCAGGGCCCTACATTTACCAGTTTCCGGCATTTAAAACCAATGGAAAAGAGTTGAGGTAGTTGAGTTGGAAGAAACAGTTCCGAGGGCTTGGATGGAGAATGCTTTATTCTTCTTTAAAGCATCGTGAGGCAGACTGAGAGCCCAGGCTGGAAGAGACGGAGAGCAGGCATTGTGCAGCTCACGGTCTCGAACAATAGAGCCCCAAGTGTCTGTGTGAGCCCTGCCAGCGAGGGGGACTGAAGCAGTGCCCTGAGCTCCTCGAAGAAGCTAGTGCAAGCTTATTTCCCGAGTGGCGACCGTGGTTGTCACGGGCAGATCGCACATCGCTGTGGGGACTGCGTGTCATTCATCTACGATGAGTGTGCGAGGAGTAAACAGCAAGAGTCATTCGGCTGAAATTTATTTTCTGAGCAGAAGACAGGATTCCTAACCTAGGGTTCTGTTGTTGCTGGCTGTTTGCTTTAAAAGCCCAGAACACCAAGGGGGCCATTTTATTATTGTAATCGAGTTGTGCATTCGTGTGTGAGTAGAGGTGGGGACAAGATCCAGACAGGGTGACCGAATTCTGTCTTAAACTCCTGGTAGGGACTTGGGTCTTCATGAGGGATCGATCGCTCACTCTGCAGATTCTGCCTGTGACACTAGCGCCCTGATCCCCTCCCATTTGAGAAAAAGCCTCTGCAGGGTCATGTGACCTCACATGCTCTGGCTAATTTGTCATTAGTCTTCTCAGGCTCCTGTAGTTTGAGCTCAGGGTATCCAACTGCTGTTTCCACACCCTTCATTTAATCAAGCTTATCTGCATGACATCAGAGCTCAGCCAAGGGAGCAAACACAGTACTCAGAGGAAGGTGAAGGAAACAGGTGCGGCCAGTGCTTATCCACCCAAGTCTTCCCCTCACCTCCTGTGTGCTCCCAGGGAGGGGGCCAGGGGCCAGGGACACAGGGGACAAGCTTGAGCTGATGTAAGTTATTTCCCTGAATTGGCCCCTTAGCTATGGTCTCCTTCTCCCCATTCAGCCTGGCGTGGCGCCCTATTTGTGAAAGTAAACTTCACGTGGAAACCTCCGGAATCCTATAAACCTCTGAACAGATTCGATTCCATTTGTTTACGGGACCTCATTGTCTTCTATTCTTTTTTCTCTGCCTTGCCCCCAACGTGCACAATTTGCACCCATTTTTTCAATGCAGACATAAAATACACTTTTCAACACCTTTATTAATTACAGTCCATTAGGATTCTTCTCAAATCCCTTCCAGGTGTAGGCTATTTTACCACCAGCCTCCCCCCTCCTCCTCCCCCTCCGCCCTCCAGCCTCCCCTCCCCCTACCCCCCCACTCACTCCCATCCCTCTATATGCCCCCTCCCAGTGGGGGGCAGATTTGGCGTGCTGCCTGGGGTGCTTCATGGCCGTGGTTTTGCCGGTCTAAGTAAGAGACGCTGAGGAGGGGTTTGCTCTGTTTGTGCTGTATTCCCTCTTCTTTTTCAGGTATTAGTAAATATTGGCAACCATTTCGATCTTGCCTCCAGTATATTTGTAGCACCGAGAAAAGGGATTTATAGCTTCAGCTTCCACGTGGTCAAAGTGTACAACAGACAGACCATCCAGGTGGGTAGGTCTGAGGCGGTGTGGACGCTTTCCGCTTCGGAGGACTGCTGCCCCATGGCTGCAGGTCCTGTGTGTCCTCTGGGCATCTGGGCCCAGCAGGGAGCACGCTGACCTTGGGGCCTCCAGCCCAGAAGCCACTGCATCTTCCGGGCCAGGCCCTTGGGATGGCTCCGTGGAAAGGGCAGGGAGATGTGGGGGGATCAGAGAGCAAACGTGTGCCCGTGGGGTCCTGCAGGTCCGCTGAGCTCTACCCTCTGCACTGCAGGTCAGTTTAATGCAGAACGGCTACCCGGTGATCTCAGCCTTTGCAGGAGACCAGGACGTGACCAGAGAAGCTGCCAGCAACGGTGTCCTACTGCTGATGGAAAGGGAGGACAAAGTGCATCTCAAACTGGAGAGGGGGAACCTCATGGGAGGCTGGAAGTACTCCACGTTCTCGGGCTTCTTGGTTTTCCCTCTATAAACACAGAGTCCCCAGTCGGTGGGGAAGTTGCGATCTGGACACTGGACTCCACCCTTCCTCAACACCCTGAACTTGCCAGAATAGGACCACTAATTTCCCACTTCCATCAGACGGTTGAAGTAGAAGAATGATTTCCTTCCAAATCTCCAGTATTTTCTTTGACTATAGACCATTCCTTGGGAACCTGGCTTCTAATTAGTTTTAGACGACAAGGTCTGAAGGAGAAATGAAATTATTGATTTGAGCGATTTGTACCTGTGATTGTAAAGTCAATATTGGATCTTATTGTGGGGACTATTGGCTTTTCCTCTTTTGTTTGTTCCTTGTATTGTTGCCCCCACACGAGGAGTGCCGCTGACCCCAGGATGGATGGCAGGTTTCAGGCAGAGCTCAGAGCAGGAGCCCTGCAAATCACCACCTGCTGGAGAGTCCCTGAGATGTGTTCTTTGTGTGTGTGTGTGTTCAGCCTTAAGAAAAAGAATGGCTTCACTTTCATTCTGTATTTTCCCCCGGGTGGACGGGAGGCCTCGGGAGGGGGAAGGGGACATTGTGAATCTGTCAAGAAGTGCTTTATCCGGAGAAGCAAATTTTGCAGGATTGGACTGTGACTTTTGCTTTGTGGTGTGTGTGTGTGTGTGTGTGTGTGTGTGTTTGTTTATATTTTGTTTTTGTTTTTTCCTGGAAAAGTTTTACTTTTCTTTCCACATTCACCTCTCCCTCCTTACCCCGACTCCTATTTTATTTTGTGCTGGGATGGGGGAGAGAAATGTATGTTGAATTCCTGAACGAGACCAAACAAAACAACACAAAGCATACCTATGTATCTTGTTTTGGTTGAGACCAAACCAAGCAGAAGGTACGTGTATATCAAAGTACAAATAACAGATGGACGATTCTGTTTCTTCTCTCCAAGAGATTCTCTCAGATGCACCTTTAGAACTAACAAGTTGGGATTTTCTTGTTTCTTGTTTCTTTTTCTTTTTTTTTTAACGCTCTGGAATACTTTAAAAACTTGATGCTCCTGGGTGGCCTGAATCATGTCAGATGAGGACGGAAGCTGGAATGACCAAGTCTCCTGAACACATGCTTCCGTGGCCCAGTGTGCCTGGGTCTTCCCAGCAGCCCGTCCTCATCTATCTGCATCCACGTCTGTGCCGGCACCCCAGCCTCAGGTGCTCCAAAGCCAACAGGATGAGTCAGTCTCCCTCAGGATCCTCCTCTGATCGGCGAAGGAAAGAGGCGTGTTCACACTCCCTTCAAACACCTGGCGAGAAGCCACCTACAAGTCACGCTTACAAGTATTGGCAGAGGCACCCTGGGAGCAGTGGTGCAAATCCTTCTTGTCTTGGCCCCTTGTACAACAATAGGATCACAATGCAGCTGGGAGCCGATGGGTGCAGGAGTCCTATGCCAAGGAAACGTTACTAAATCCCAAAGCAATCGAAGAAGAGACCTCACAGCGGATGTTAATTTGTCCTTTGTGTCACAATGTAACCAAAATATTGATGATAAAAAGTCATAATTTAAGATTCAGAATAAATGGGTTTGATGTCTGGCTTGTTCTTCTCCCTTCACATCGTCTCCCAACTCCTACAAGGTGTGGAAGTAAAAAGCCAAGGACCAAGGACTCCGGGAAAGGAGATCCACACCGTGCCTCTTGAAAACATACACTCAGATGCACACTCCTGTTTGCAGACCTAGCGATGGGTCTAGGTGGAAATTGCACACTTAAATACACTTCAATTTATATATGTGTATATATATATATATATATATATATATATATATATATGTATTTTTCACACGAAAAGATTTTGGGGGTAGATACGTGAAAAAGACAGCATTAAAAATGCTTTATGGATAGGCAATCTGCTTTGATCACATACAATCATTGATGTGGTACAAGTTCCAACCCAATATTTCAATCAGAGAACATGGATATAAAAGAAACTGACATTTCAACATAGCATCAATTTTTTCTAAGACACGTGAGCATGGGGCAGCATTGGTTTCCGTTTTCATATAAGAAACTCAGTAAGGATCATAGAAGTGAAAAAAAAAATCCAGTTTGATGAAGAGTCTAAGGTGTTACTGGCCTTAGGTGGACACCGTAATAAGGTACAGAATTTAATTTGACTTAAAATGATGTTATATTTTGTTAAGAAAAGAAAAATCAAGAAACATCAACCAAAATGCATTTGGGTATTTTGCCTCTGTGATTAGGAGACACACGTCTAAGTATGAGCATTGTTCGTTAACGCTGATAATGCAAACAGTAGGATGCTAGCAAATGTTTTTCTTCTGTGTTTTACTGCCCTTAGTGAATTAGTCCTTACGTCCCTCATCTTTTAAACCTTCCGTTCAATTTCAAACAAGCGGCAAGCTTCATTAGGTGACAATATCTATCGCCCTTTCAGAGGTTGAAAAATAGATGCATACGTGTTATTTTTCTCGCTTACTACTATGTAATGCACATACTTGCTTGTATTTACAGCTTTACTACGTACAGGTTGTTATTTGGTTATGCCGTCTAATAAATAAGTTATTAAATTGATCAGTCTAAAAATAAGCATATTTCAGGAGTTTATTTTGTATGAGGGAAAAAGCTTCATCCTGTTTATTCCACTCCTGCTATTATTTAATTAATTAGTTAATTAATTAATATCTTGAGCTGGATGCCAAAAACTACACTAGGAAGAAGCCACAACAGTAGTTTTTCTGAAGTTGCTTCGCCGCCCATGGCTGAGGCTGCCCGAGTTCTGTCCGGATAAGGATCTTTGAGGGAGAGGATGCTCCTGTGCCTGGTTTACAAAAATATGTAGGTCAGAGCAAAATTTGAAATGTATTTTCCTTTAATTGGGGGATGGAAGTGACACGTCTGGGATATGCGCGGTCTGATTTGAGCATCCCGACCTCTCAGCTTCGGTTTTCCCATCTGTGGTGTGAGGGCAGGCACCCCCACATCTGCCCAACACACAAGGCTACTGTGAGATCACACAGATGAGCCAGGCACCGGGATCACAAGAGCTGTTATGTGGCAGGGAGGGTGTTTTCTGGAAAGTCGAGTTTTTCCACGTGCAGGTCATTAAAATGGACATCTGACAGAGGATACTCTTATGCGATACTAAATTTCCATATTCCCCACTAGCTTATTAAAACTGTAGCACTTGGGAAGTTTAATTTGATTTTTAAGAATGATGGTAATATGAACATGTCAAAATCTGTGCATTTTCGTAGTAACTCAATTCTTAATTATGTTCTTTGACTGTCCTGTGTGGCTCACGCCTACCTTTCCATTCCAGGATGTGATACCAACATTTTATAAGAATATACAACTGTAATATTTTTAACACAAGGAAAGACTGAGTTATCAATATTTTAGCATTATGATAGTGAGTTGATCTAGCTGATAAATGTTAATCCTACTAAACTGTAAATGCTTTTTAAGACAACACTATTTTTTAACTTAAAATATATTCTAATTTGAAACACAGCCCTGCTTCAACTCTAGGTCCTAAGAAATTGTGCTTACTACCTGTTTCTGAGCCCTTTTTGCATCCTAATATTTTTGATCTATGTACTCATGTATAATGAAATTATTTACCTTTTTAAAGTTTGTGATTACTAGGGCTGCTCAGAGCAAGGCGAGAAAGCCTGTCAGATATTGGCATAAACACTCATGGAATCCTGTAGAGGTTACATATTTATTTGTTTGGAAAAAAAATGTTTTCAGCAAAATCTAGTGATATCAAACTTCAGAAAGGTTAGAAAGGACACATAAAAGCAAACCAAACCCTTTGCTGAATCCTTAATTTTATTCATACTATTTCACTGATATCGTATCAAGGACCTTGATACCAAGTCACATACACAGCAACTGTTACCTGTATATCCTTTGCCTTGTAAATACATGAACATATTCACCTGATCTTTATCAGTGAATAAGACAAAATACATAGATTGGCTGCATTCTCCTGGAATCTGGAAATAGGTAAGAGGAGAATTTGTTGAATCACTTTATACAAGCAAAACTAAAAGCATGGGCTTTTTTTTTTTTAGCATGCCTCATATAGCAAAAGGAGCAAAGAATGTTCTGTCAATTTACGTCCCCATGATTTTGCAATCTTTTATAAGGAAATAAATATTGCAATAAGATAATGTTGCTGTAAATAAATAGTTAATGTTTATATTTCTACAGCATAGGAAGTATGTAATAATCTAGTGCACATGAATGAAAGGCTGTGACATATTTAAGGTTGTGTAAATGAATGATGGCACTCCTAGAAGCAGGTTACATTGAATCATTCTGAAGGTTTTCTGTGCACTCTGTAAAAACACTTGTAAAAAAGATAAAACTAGATTAACCATAGAACTACAATGAGATTTTGCCCTTTTACCTTGCTTATGTAGGAATTCATTTTGTCAATGGGACTCTGTTTCTAAAGTTGACAATTTGCTACTAAAATGGCAGATTATAAACATAATTAACATGTAAGATCAACGCCTATCGATGCATTCTCATAAGACTCTTAAAGTTAATTTTCTTGGCATTTAAGAAGCAAGCTCACCAAATATACTTAAGTAAGGTAAAATATAATTTCCATTTTGGTTTTTATCATTTTATGATTTTTGTGCTCAGAATCTTTATTCTTTTGAAAACACTATGAAGATATTAGCTGATGATGGTCATGTTCACTAATCAAGTATGTTTCTGTATTTGGCTAGCCTCTTAAAACTCAATTTTTGCAGTTGGAGTTCACCAAATGGTGTATTACTGCCTTTGCAGATGGAAAGCTACAATTCATTCACATTTAGATATTTTAAATGTCTCTATGTTACATAGCTATCAATGATGGGATTGGTCAGACCCAGTCCTCACCCATCCTTTCAAAAAAAGAAGAAAGGTCTTTTCAAAATTCCTTTAAAGTAGATCCAATGAATATAAACTTTTAAAAATAACGTTCTCTATATGAATTTGTATAATAACGTTACACCAAAATCTGAATTCTAAGTAAATGAGCTTTCTTTCCATTCCCAAACCCAGTAGGGTAACTTGAAATTTGTAAGGGCAAAAGCCGTGTGATTTTACCTCCCACAGATAATAGGAGCTCTGTTTTATCTTCCTAAGTGGATTTTGCTGTGGATTTCCATCACCAGAATCACCTAAGTGTCTATAGCATCATAAATCATCATCTGTATCAGCTCGCCCACATACACTCACTGTGTAGTGTAAATGAGCTCCCTGACAACTTAATTTGGAAAAGAAATCTTCATTCCCTCTTCTTAATGCCCACGGCAGGACTCCCCGGGGTTAGAATGCTGCTTTGCACTGGAGCTATCCTAACAGAATGGAAGCCACTTATTAATGAGCCACTACCATCGCCTGCAACCTGACTAGCTATGGCTGACTTTTTTATTATCGTGCCATCGTATTTTTCAGGAGTCCTGATTTCTCCTTTTGAATTTGTTTCAGGTGGCCAAACAAAATAACACCAAACAAAAACCTTGCTTGAGTTGGAGAATGTTGGCAATATATTGGGCTGTGAAACTCCTGAGTGTTTTTGCTTAAGTCTGTTTGCTTGCTTTATTCATCTTAAAATGCTTCCATACATCTCTTATGCTCTC